TGGATGAAGTCATCAATAACTTCTCACTTGTGTGGACGAAGTCATTAGTAGCTTCTTATTTGCGTAGACAAAGTCTTCGATGGCTTTTCAAATGATGTAATTTGAAGTTGTTAGTGACTTCATAAATTTTGTGGATGAAGTCAACTGTGGATTCCTACTTGTATGGACGAAGTAGCTAGAGACTTCTCAAATGATATGATTCGAAGTTGATAGTGATTTTCTAAATATCATGAATCAAAGTTGTTAGTAACTTTTTCCTCATGTTAATGTGAGCCCCCAATTCTTATAAGCTCACCTATTTGTCAATACAAGTTCGCAGATCCATAGGGGTTAACCAAAATTTCAATTCCTCTCCTTATTTCCCTTTAGCGTATGGGTATAGGCCTTTGATCGGCCTAAATCCCAAATTACTCGATCAATTTACCTCAATAAAATAAATTCATTTAAATAAGCATGAAATCATAATTTAACATGACCGAACTTAATTTTCTCATGCATAAAATACAGGCTATTTCAAGTAGGATGAGATGGTGATGATATTAATCTTCTCCATATGTAATCGATTATTTACCCGGATATTTATACAAATAGTTTGTTTTAAGGTTTTCTAATTTCCTCGATTACTAGTGGGGACTCTGCCCACTCTCGTGGCTTTCGTCGACAAAGCACAAGCATCAAACTTCAAAAATCACAATATACAAACTGTGACTATTAATGTTAAGTTAAAATAATCAACAAAACCTAACAACCATATCAGCCTATTACTAGGTATTTGAATATCCATCTCACCACTTGTCAACATGGCTGTTTACCATTAGTTATTTACAGGAAGAACATGAAAAAAATAAATAAATTTAAATGTCAGTCTTAGCGTTTTAGGAGTGAAAGTAATTTTTTACAATTCCTTAAACTTCAATAAGGGAGTTATTCAAGTGTTGGCTTAGATGCAAGTGGGAATTAAAAAAAAAAAATGAAAAAGAAAATGATACAAGGAATAAGCTGCAAGGGGCAAAACCCCCAAGAAGTAAGAATACGAGTATAGGCACCTAGAAAGAAACTGGATATAGTAGAAAATCAGTAGTTATTCAAAACAGAAAGAAGCAATTAAGGGCAATAAAACTCATCATCAATGAAATAAAATAGCAGCAAATTAAACCAAAGGTCAAAGGAAGCACTAGCAAATCCAAACAGAATCATCAAGCCGGATGTGGAGGAACCGCTAACCATTTCAAAGCCATACAACCGAGTTAGCATTTCTAAACACTCCTTGTTTAGCAAATTAACCAACAATATAGTTTGCTTCTGGAAAACTATGTATAGATGAAATTGACTTGATGAAACAGGCAAAGTAAATCCTTAACACTTCTGAATTCATGGCAGAATTTCCAAGGTCTATCCCCCTGATTATTAAGCCATCCAACGACATTTGGAGAATCAAACTCCATTATTAATTAATGAAGACTCCAACAAAGATGTTGCCCCAACTGGAATTTCTAATGTTCTGCGAATGACAATTAGTTCGGCAAGATTAGAATACATTTCTCCAATGTAGGCCGAGAAAGCATATTGAATAACTCCTAAAGGATCCTTTAAGACATAGGACTAGGTTCAGTAAAACAAAAACAATAACAATCCCATTAAAGGGGTCTATTAGACTTTGAATTGGTCCAGCACTGAACTATCACAACGAATTGCAAGAGATTTAAAGATACACGGGAAATTTATCCAATAAATATTTATCCTAGTACAGCTAACAGAGTCCTACACTCAGTGCAGGTCTTTCTTTTATTGTTTTATATTCAGCTAGGGGTTGTACTCATTGTACTCTATATATATAGTCATGCAACAAATCATATGAGAGAACCATTTCTGTTGCATGCCTTGAGCGTTGAATGTTGTTACTAAAGTTTGGATTAGGGGTTTGGCATATAATGAGAAATGGTTCTCTCATATGATTCGTTGCATGACTATATATATATATATATATATATATATGAGAAATGGTTCTCTCATATGATTCGTTGCATGACTATATATATATATATATAGTCATGCAACGAATCAAATGAGAGAACCATTTCTCATTATATGCCAAACCCCTAATCCAAACTTTAGTAACAACATTCAACGCTAAAGGCATGCAACAAATCGGACTGACATGCAGTTTTCGGGAATGATAAACTTGTTATCCATTGAATTTGATCAAGAGACATGTAAGTACGTACACTACCACAATGAATATTATAGCTAGTAAGAGAAATAAGATGAATTTGGTTGTTGATCACTCATCTAGCAAGCATTTGGTAAAATTATTTAATAGCTACATAATAATATAAATTAGGTTAGAAGAGGCAAGCGTCTCTTGAATTTTAGTTCATTTGGAAATCAGTTTTTAAATTTTAAATTTATATTTTAACCTTTCTTGTTATATGGCAACCTCTCGACAATTATAAAAATAAATATATTCTAAAGTAAAATCCCCATTCAGTTTTTTTAAATGTAAAAATTAAGAAAAATCTAACAAATTAGTACTAAATGTTCTGGTTAAGAAAATTGATTATACAATAAGGAACGACTATAGTTACGTTAATATGCCCACGTAATAAGGTTACTATTCAATTCTAATCTATAAAAAATTCTTCATGCGAAATTTTGTTATGTATCCATTTTTCTATCATAATTTATGAGTTGGCTATTGTGTCTTTTCTAACTAGTCCATGGTAAAGCGATTTGAAGATTGAAAAAAACTTGATCTCTTACTTAATATGTCATTGGACTATTGGAGTTCAATTGGAAGGAAGAAAATCAGGGGTTAAAATCTATTTACAATTTAAAGATCCAAAACCTCATGCAAAAAGTATAAAATAGATTGAGTTTGGACCTTGCATCCAAGCTTACCTGTCAAACTATGTAATAAAAATTACAAATCCATAAATAAATAATTCAAAAATATACAAATGAGTCTTGAGCCCCTATCATGCCATGTCATTTTAAGATTCTAAACTAAGCCCACGGTTCTATGTCTAACTTAAAGAGAGATCTACGATAAAATAAAATTAGTGACATCAAGAAAATAAATTGAGATTAACATGAGACCACATAAACAATAACAATGATAATGAAAAAAAAATGAAAATAAAATAATAATAATAATAATAATAATAAAAAAGACTGGTTATTGAAACAAAATTAGTCTTAGGTTCAAAAATATTCCATCTAAACTAAGTTACACTCACATCACATAAAATAAATATGCAAATACAAGATATAATAAAATTACGCATGTAAAGATCACAAATCACATTTAGAAGACTTCAAAGAAAGTAAAATAGCCAATAGACCTCCACAAGATCCTTGACCTATTAATTCATATTAGCTTATTTTAATTTTTCATATGAAAAAAGATTTCTAGTCTATTGCTAGTTTCATCATCGATCAACACTATCTCCAAAAAATAAAAATAAATTTATATATTAAGTCGATACCATTAACTCTCTCTCTATATTTTTTAAATAATAAAAATAATAATAAACATACATTAAAAATAAAAGAAAGATAAACCCAAAAATTATAATTAAATACTCCCTAACCCAATAAAATTAAACTTAAAACACATATGAACAATAAAAGATCTCATTTTTTAAAGTCTTTTAAACCTATCAATTAACATCAAGGACTTCAAATTCAAATATTTTCAATTAAGTCTAAATTAAATAATATTAATTCAATTAATCATCTAAATTTTATGTTAATTACACAATCAATGTTAATTATTAGAGTATCAACTAATGAAATAAGCATGCAACACACAAAACTTGGATGCAAATCAAATAGAAACAAAATTGATTAAAAATTCATCTCATTATATAAATAAAAACTGAACTATTTATCCGTAATTTTTAAGTTTTTACATTATACTTTCCAACTCTCTCATGATAAATTGTCCAAACAACTATAAGTATGGTTAATTTTTTAAATGATTGGAATTGACAAATGTATGATTACAAATGGAAGTAAAAAAAAAAAGAAAAAGAAAAAGAAAAAATCATATTACTACAAGTAGAAAACATTGCCATTATTCATTAATATAACTTATATATGCATATATATAATGAACCTTTCTAACTGTAGCAAGTGAATTTATGTCAAAATAAAGTGTATACTTATTCTATAGATATGAGATTATGATGGAACCTATTATCTTAGCCTGATTGATTGACCATTTCTTGTCCAGTTTATGCTTTGGCTATCATAACGCAGTCTTTTCAATGTATTTAGTTCGATATGTTCAAAAACTATTTTATTTGAGAAATTTATTCCATGTTTAACAGACAAAATGCCTCATCAATTACACTAATAAATATAGAAATAAAAAGGCAGCAGCAATCATCATTTCTTGATAAAAATTCTATCTCTGATTGGGAAATTTGGAGATCGTGTATAAGGACTACATGCATATATTCTCTGCAAGCAGATTAATTCAACACCTTTCAAACTCCACATCATTATAAGATTCATTTGACATCATATTTTTTTCTGGTCATTGTAACCAACAAATTTCATTGTACTTTCCCAGATTTCAATATGAATCAACAAAGTTAACTTAACAGCTCAGTAAAAATATTTTGATCTCGGTTTCATTCATTTCATATGAGAAGTAAGCTTTTTTTTTTTTTTTTTTATTGCATCAGAATTAAGTTCGTTACCGCAAATAAATTAACAATTATGTTACAAAGACAGCAATTTGCAAGTGGAATTTACGGAAAGTTTGATGCTTTACATGGATGAAGCCTTCAGTGAACAACTTTAGAAGAACTATATTAATTTTTTCCACTTGCAACACAACAGTTGAAATAGATGGAAAAGGAAGAAGCAACATAACCACCCTTCGTTTTATGATAAAAAAGTGGAGTACTTAACAAAATTTCTTTAGAAAATGAAGAGAAGGTAAGGGAAAAAACCTCTCTAGTGGATCCCAAGCATCTTGCGGCTCACTACGATCAAAAGAATTCTTTGGTACTCGACCTTGTAGATGATTCGTGTGGCTCGGACCCTAGTCGAAGCTCAAGGTCCAATCCTGCCTGTATCGTAGCTTGATTCAACTGCATCTTGTTATCATCATGGTCATGATCAGTACCTACCTTGGCATCAACAATAAAGGGTATCTGCTTAACATCTTCGGTAGCCATATTTCCGGGAGTAGCACAGTCATCTTCAAATATTGATGGAGCAGATGGTGTCTTAGGCGCACTACCTTTTTCCTCGGTGGACTTTGTGATGTCCAAAGAAAGAAAGTTTTCATGGAAAGCCTGTTTAAGTTTGGCCCTATCTCTTCTATGAATATTCATATGGCCTCCTAATGCTTGTGCATTTGAGAAGCCTCTCTTGCAGAAAGCACAAGTATAAGACCTTACATGGCTTGAATCCTGCAGGTCATCTGAACTGCATGTCATTTGGTCGGACTTTCCTGTGCTCGTCAGACTAATATCCATTAATTATCTCAAGTCTGGAAGGAAAAAGATAAAGATTAAGAAAAAAGAGGAGGACAAAGAATGGAGGCAATAGGAGAGACGTGGTCAACTGATCGGTTACGAGAGGGGCTTGGGTCATTTAGAGCAAATATAGCAGGCCTGGATAATTTTCTTCTAGCTAAGTGGCTTAGATGCATGAACATCAAAATTTTATTTTATCAACTCACTTGTAATTACCAAATTGGCCTTCAAAATTGGTCAGAAAATATACAAAGTTGAATATTAGCTGCGAGTTTATTCGTCCAAATATATTGGTTTTTGTTGGTGTGGACAAAATAGGGCAAGTTGTACACTACTTGCCGTATATATTGGACAAAATATGAGAAGTTGTAGAATGTTTAGTATACATATTTGAATCGTATATGATTAATCCTTGTATAGGATCCTTGTAAATGATCCTTGTAACTGATCCTTGTCCTATCTAAAATGGTTCTAGAGCGTGGATGCCAATATCATCATGGACAAAATAATATATAACTTTTCAATTTTTCATATTATCTAAGTTTTTTTTTTTTGTCAAATCAAATCCAATTTCATATATATTTTCAATTAAATCCTGTTTAGTCCAGTCCACTCTTGTGTAATTCTATTTATCTCGTCATGTCCAGCTTGCCAAACCTAACCTAATTTTATGTATTATTATGACAATGTGCAAGCCTATATATAATACCAATTGGATCAAAATACTAGCATGCAGGGAAAAAAGTTACAAGAAACGACTCATATTGCAACGTTTAGAGAAAGGATATTTAAACTCCGACCAAATTCGCAAATTGCAACATCCCAATATAGTTGAGAGTTAGATCTGAGCATACCTAAAAAGAGAGAGAAAATAGGGTATGTCAATCTGCCTTGGCTAGCTGAAACAGGATATGCCGTAAGTGATCTATTAAGTTTGACATAATTAATAAATGAAATCAATTAATAGTTGACTTTATGATTTAGCATGCATGAATGTATTACTTTCCGAATTACGATACTTACTTCCTAGCTGGCCCCTTGTCAATATTAAACAGGAAAACCTTGATAGTTAAACATGGAATACCACAGCTTGATCCGTTTAAAATTAAAACAATTATGTTTTTGAATATCATTTTACTTTAGCAGAATCCAGGTAATTATAAAATCGGAAAAAAAGATGAAGTTAAGAAATTCTTTTCCTAAGGTCAAAGATTTATTAATCCGGTCCATTCCAACAGCAAAACCGAAGGTGGAACGTTTATTTGCACCCTATTTTCGTCGGTCGTACAAAGATTGATAGGAGTTTTTATTCGATAATCATGTCAAGTAGCTATTGATCTAGCTACTAATATATAGGGCAACAACTTCCCTCTTGGCTACATCTTGGTGTTTGGAATCAGAAAATGAAGCAATAATAACAACATCCTTTTGTAGTAGTAGGTCAATCGAGATAACATTATAAACCCTAAGAATAAGTTTATTAAATTACATCAAACACCTCCAAACGTTTACCCTAGCTAGGGATTAATGTACTAAAATTTCATCAAATACCTCCAACCCTTTATTAAACCATTGTGGCCGCCTTGTAGAGTGTGCTAAGCATATCCCTGTCCTTTGGTCTCTCATTCTCGCTATCTGTCTCTCTTTTGCAAAAGAAACCAATTTAAAACAGGAAAACTGTCAACAGACGGTTTCAACTAGTTTGAAACTTTGACCAAGATAGAGGCAATATATTTAACTTCCAGTACGGCCAGGCTGATCGATCCATTTAAAACTCTAAAGTTCGTACTACATAACGCGCGCAACTTGATTGGATTTCGAAATGGAGGGTATGCTTACGACGACATGGAAAGAAAATAATAATTTAGAATTAATTTTGGCATATCAAAATTAAGTTTGTGTCTCATCAAGTGATATTAGTTAGATAATCCATAAGAGTGATGCAGTATTCATTAAAAATAACTAATTTTCCTCACTCGTTGAGAGAGTTTTTTTTATTCAGAAAAATTAATGCCAAAAAATTAACTAAGAAAAGTACTGTATGAATTTAGTTACTGTGATTAGATATTGCAATCAATTTCTTTTTAGTTATGCAAATATATTCATTGCAATCAGTTAATTTTTCTTATGCAAATGCTAGTTGCTTTCTTGTTTAGTCATATCTGATGAGTTTAGGCAGATGAGTGCGTTGGACCACCTCACCAGTTAGCTGGGAGGGACATTAGTTACTATATAAATATAACTTTTACTATACTTAATTTAAACACTCATGTAAATAAAATAAAATGGAGTGTATAATTAAGTGAATTTTTTTACACAATTTTCTTTTTGGGTTTCACACTGAGAATATCTCCATGTCAGTTTTTACATTAACCATTTTTTTTCATATGATTTTAAAACTGCATTTTTCATATGGTTTTTGGTGTATTTTAAAAAAAAATTAATAATTTTTTTGAATACTATATCTAAAATTTGAATTTAAAAAATTAACCAAGAAATCTTCGTAACCATTATGTCAACCGGTTAAATTAATCGACATAAAATTATGATTTAGTAGATTGACACATGTTTTTAGTAGTGATAAAAAGTGAATTCCCAGCTCCAACCTCACCGTCCCTTGAAGCATAGCTGGTCTAAATAGCTACTGATCCAACTAAGCATTTCGCATGATGGTATGACGACATGTCCGGTAATGACACTTGTTGGGGTCGCTCATAACCTTATAATTTGTTGGTTACAAACGTGAAAGAATTTATTTTTTAAACTATTTTTTGATATTGAGAAAATCCAATAATATTTCACACTCACATGAGAATTTATTTTAAATAATTTTTCATATGTCGACGACATATAATTGATAAGAAATAGTGAACTTAGGATCAATAAATGAAGAAAAAATTGTTAAATTATTCCATATCTATTGTAAAACAAACTTAATCACCTTAAAATTTGATATGTGAAAAAAATATTAAATTATTTTTTATCTGTTATGAAAAAAAAATGTTTGATTATAACTTCACTTCTCTTAGCTAAAAAAAAACTAAATTAGTAATTTATTAATCGTTGCTTATGCAATTACGCATGCAGCCATCACCGTCCAAAATTGTATCAGCTTGTGATCATTCTAATTTAATCATTTTTATATGGCCACAGGGGAAATTGATGGGTTAACCGACTATTTCATCATCCCTTGGAAGAAAGATGAGTTAATTAACAAAATAATAAGTGGTTCATTTTTCTTGGAAAGCTAACATTAGAAAATCATAAGTTTAAGACACGTGGATTTAAAGATGTGCCTGACCAACCGACAGTAGCGTTATTTTATAGGACAGGAAACTATACGTATGCTGTATAGTTTTTAATCCCTCAGCTGTCTGTGGGTGGAATCTCTCGTTTTCTACATCATAAATAAATAAATAAGTCGCAAGGTGCTACAACCTCGCAATGTTGGACTCAACACATGCCTTAATTAGTTTGTCCGGACAAGATCGGGATGCATAAAGAATATTGTTTGGAATTCTGAAACTCAACTGTTTGAAAAACAAAATCTAAACATTAATACTATAAACATTTTAGAGTAAATTTCTCAATGTGTTGTTATATAATAAGTTGAGTTTTCAATTTTTACTTATGTTTCTAATTGAGTTTATTAATATGTCCATCAGTAGTGTTAAATTATTCTACTAGTCATTATAATAACTTTTTCTAATCAAAAGCTCATGAGTAAATTACATGACAAAAATGTATTCTCGAAATGCACTCAATTAAAATGTGAAAAAAATTCTAATATGTCTCTACATTTCTAATTATATCTATTATGTTTTACTATAATATATAATTCTTCAATATGTCATTCTATGATGTTTTTCGATCCAAATTAATATAATTTTATCTTTTTTTAAAAAATAAAATCTTTTCAAAAAATTAAAATCTTTATTTTTTAAAAAATTTAATAGCATAAATAATTTTGAAACTTCTTATTTCTTAAAACTTTTTGAGCCATTTTGAATTTTTTTAATATATATATATATATATATGTGGATGGAAAAAGTTGACTAAAAGACATATTGGAGAACTATATATTATATAAGGACATAGTATATGCAATTAGAAGTAGAGAGACATATTAAAGAACTTTTTTTCCTTGCAATTCGATTAGCTATGTTTCGAAATAAATTAAATATTATATCTTTGTAATCCATTATGCGCGACTAAACTCTATTCTTAGTTTAATCAAGTTAAAGCTTTTGATTAATCATCGTGAGATTACGGGTTTTATTTCTAAACTTATTTTACTTGGATATTTTATATTTTTTTGCATGATTGGTTTATAGTTATATGATTAAATTAATTAGAGTGCATGCTAGTTATTTAATTATATTAACTTATTATTAGCTAACTATTCAAGTCCGTGTAATTGCTTATCTAAACATGCCCGTTGTAGTAACTAGGGGTTGAAGATTATTTTTCACATTTTCGTTCAATTCTTTGAAAAACATAGAACTAGATTACAACTTCTATAGAATTTAGAAAGGTGGCTTAGCTTCACATATCTTTCTCTATCTAATGTTGTTATTGAATTAAATCTATTTAGTGCCTAGTAGGTTATTCAATAGCTAGGGAATTAATTAGGTATTGTATATTCAACCTACCCGTCCTTACACTACAAGTACACTCAAACAAAAGAAACAATCTATTTAGCCTCTTTCCCTATGGGTTTGACCATTGTTTACCCTAACTACAATCTTATGATTGGGTCGAGTATCAAACATATAAATTACTAATTTGTTAGGAGTACGACACGCCATCAAATTTTGGTGTTGTTGTCGAGAAAGGATTGCATTTAAATTAATTATTTTTTTTGTATTTTGACTCGTTTTTATCTATTTTTTTAACATGATTTGGTATTCTCAATAATTTATCTCTCAACATAACCTATAATTTGAGACATTCGATGAGGTAAACACATCTGCTATTGCACAATGGATTTCTAACCTAAC